TGTCACCCCGAAGTGCGTGGCTTCTCCTGAAGACTTTCTCCTTTTCAGTACGCCCGGCTGTGCGCAGGAGCAAAACCACCCTGGTGGTTTTAGGGCTCCGTGAGCGAATCCGCCTGAAGGGAGTTCCGCTCTGGGGAGTGGAGCTGTCGGGCTGCGTGGGCGCCTGCAGGCAAGTCTGATTCGGGTTTGGTACCAGCCTTGCCCACCGTGATGTTCAACTTCCCTGTGGCCCCGTAGGATGTCCTGCAGAGCAATGCTTTCTTAAAGGGGGAATTCTCAAAGTTTCAAACTTCTTTTTTTCTTTTTTTTTTTTTTTTCGTATCGCTGCCTGCAGTCATTACATGTCTCAAAAAAAAAGCCATCTCCGTGACTCACAGCAAGAAATCATCTGAAATGTAAATGTATCCAAAATCTACCGGAGATGTTAGTTTTGCTGTCTTGATCTCAGAAATAAAAAAAAAAAGGTTCTCTGGGGCCATTGCCATCCCTTTTTGTGTATTTGAAAATACAGATCTATGAACTATGAAAACATTACATAAGACTATTTCTGTAATTCATATATAATAAGCCAGGCATAAAATTATTCTGATCCTTTGGGACGTAAACCACTTCAATTTTCTCAGTAGTCAAAGGGTTGTGTTTTGCCTCTTCCTTTGGCTGGTATGTGAAGCCCACCAAATACTTTTTTTTTTTTAGGTTTTCATCAGATTATTTTTCATGTTTTCTGTGAAGCGCATGAGTCCATGGCTCATCATAATATTTTCCTAGTAAATATGGTTCACAGATGAAATTACGGGCCTGCTGAGGTCTGTGAGAATTTTGCTGTATATTTCAACAGAACCAGGATTTCATCCAGTTTTTTTAAACAAGTTGCTTTGTGCTAAAAACTTCAGTAATAACTTTCTGACTCTGCCTGGGAACTAGTAGGGAAATTCTGTTTATGAACTGATGTGGAGATTCTTAATTTATAGCAGAAAATGTATAACCAAAAAAATTACAGCTTAATTGTATGAAATAATAAAGCTGAAAGCATTTACACTTCCCTATGAATGGTTGCTAGTATTAATCCATAAAATTCCTAATCTGTTTTAGATGATGAGATCCCAGGCTGTAGATAAACCACATATGAGGTGATATGAATGTTAGGGCCCAATTCTGCTCCTGTTTGAAGTCAGCAATAAAACTTCTCTTGGCTTTAGGACTAAGAGCTTACAGATGATGAAAAGTAGAACTCAGCTTAGTGGTGAAATATGGAAAGAATAGATTTTTGAAGTATCGTGCTACTTTTAAAAAATAAATATCAATTCTATCAGATCTCTTTGGATCTGAATGTAGTAAGTGGGAGTTGACCATTTTGGTTATAGTCATCTGTTTGTTCAAAGGATTCTCAAAAGGATTCCAGTTATGCCAGTGTAACAGCCAGTATCAAGTACTGAAAACTTTGCAGAAATTTGGAATACAAGCTTTTACAGCCTGATTCCTCCCAGCTCCTACCCAAGCTCCAGAGTTATTATTTCTGCAGAGTTATGGCTGTGACAAGGAAAAAAACATTTACTTCAGGAGAGATTTCTTCTTGGTGAAACTTTGGGTATGGTAATACCGATTTAGCTACTTGTGCTCTGTGTCCTATTTTTTTCAGTAACAAAAAAAAAAACCTGCTAAGGATACGTTCACAAACACTAACTCACAGATGGATGAACCACTCTAGTCCCTAATGTGAGCAAACAGAGGTGTCATCTTCTCTCCTAAGCGAAGGCATTGCCTTGGGACCAGAGGTGGTGCAGGGTGCCCGTGCTGTGTTTTGGCTGCGTTCCTCACTGAGGCATGCCACCTCATTTTCTTTTGTATTTTGCATTTTTAAAAAACAATCTCAATTTTTTAAATAAATGTTTAATAAGTTACTATTAAAAGAAGGTCCTGCTTGAGCTGCTGTAGGGATCATGAAGTTTACACAGCCTCTTCTGTGGGTGTGTGCTTAAACTCTAATTATCCCTAAGTGATTGGATTACTTTTACTTTCAGATGTGTGTTTTGGAAGTGACCATAACAAATGTTTTTTGCTGAGTTGCTAATCTTCATTTGAATCACAGTTTCTTTTATAAGCATGTAATATAGCTTCCACCTTTAAGGCTGGAAACCAACTCAGTGAAAAATTACCTTTCCTCCCCCCGTTTAGGATTATATGGAAACACACGCTTGCATATCCTTAGGGTTAAGCACATGCTTCATAAAGATAAATGAATCTGGGATACAGATCTTACAGTAGTAAACATTACCATCAAATTTTCCCCAAATTCCCATCTCAAAGTACACCTCATTTTGACATGACTAGACCTTACTGTGTCATCAATTGCATTTATGGGAAAAAAAAATTAAAAAGGGGGAGGAATGTGGAGGTCATCAGTTTTAGAAATAAAAGTAGTCCAGGCATATGCATGTTGGTGGAACTTCAACTCAGTTATGGGACACTGAACAAACACCTGAAATTTCCTGGCCCTGCTTATAAACTAGCAATTTATTTTCAATTGCATGCAATGGTGCTTTTTTTTTTTTTTTTTTTCTTTTAAGGGTCTGGCACCATGTTGAGTAAATAAAGTGCATATTAAAATACTGTCTAAATACAGCATGGGTATACAGTCACTGGAGAATAGTTTTGGAAGGAGTCATTCTGGTCTCTTGAGGAAATAAGCAGTGGTTTATAACTCTTTAAAAAATTATTTTAAAGACAAATTTAAAAAAGAAACATGTTTAAATAACATTCAGGTTGTAACAGAAACAGGGAAAAACCAGCAAATGTGAAGTCTAAGCTGACACTTGAAATGATGCGGCATTATTCTTCAATTAGAATTCCCAAGTTTTTTTTTTGTTCTATGTCAGAGCCTTAAGGTTATTAAAATTGCATGTTCTGTACCATATTTCTTTTAGATATTAAAAGCAGGCTTTCCAAGTTGTCTGTTGGAGTTGGCAACAATGTCATTCTTACATCCCTCGCTTGAAGCCTGAAGCTTCTGCCAAACATAGGACATACTGGTACAGAAACATAACTGAATGAAATGAATGCATATATTTATCATATGTATTACAAACCCTAGGTCCTCTAATAATCTGCAAACAAACACTTAAAATATTAGATCCACAAGCGAATCCCTGAATTCAGTGGAACCCACCTATGATACTTTTCCACTGCAGTAATTCCTTTCCCAGCCTGTTTGGTGAGAAACACTTTTTGAACAGCATAATATAACATTTATTTTCTCCGTGTGACTGGAAAGACCTAGTAACTGAGAGATTAACAGTTGTCTTTTATAGAAAATGGTACTTACCCTGAGCCTCTGCCGAGTCTCTAGGTGGCCCTTGGAGCATTGGCGTTTGGCTGCTTTCCCGCCTAGTTGTGTGGTCTCCGGCAGAGCAGATAAAGCCATCCAGGATGGTGCCCTTGGTTTCACATGTTTCTTGGCTGGTAACACAAGCAGGACTCTTCAGTTCAAACACTAATCTGTCCCTTACTGATAAAATGAGTCAAATAAAGGTTACAACCACAGGACTCCAAGCAGGTAGAAGACAACAACTTTGTCTTTTTTCTTTTTCTTCATAATTCTTCCCCTTTTTAATGCATGTGCTTTTCCACAGTTCTCCTACTTTGCGGGGGTTTTTTTGCAAGCAGTCCCTCATTTCTGGTGGCTTCTTCCAAGCTCCCACAGGGAGGGTCCCCTGAGAGCCTTACTCCCCGATCTGTCTGTTTTGCTGCCACATCCCTGGCTTTCCAGAACAACATGGAGACCATGGTACTTCTGGAAGGAGGAAAAGTGTGACAGCTGATGAGTTTCTTCTCAGTTTGGTGTCTTGAGCTGACTGAGCAGCCACAAGAACTCAGAGGTTTGGGAAGTCGCAGAAATGGTGGAATAAGAGAGGCAAGAAAGGCTGTTCCTATGCTATTAATTAGGTTTGGAGCAGTTTTGAAGAAGCTGATAGTCTCCACTTACTGCACTTCTTGAAGTGGTTTTTTTTGTGTACACAAACTACATGATACTTAATGTCATATATGAAACTCCGCTGTCCTCATATGTCCTTTCAGTATCATGCTATATATAATGAATAAAATTCAGAGACATGAAAAATTCTTAACGCTGTGACTGCATCTGTATAACTTCTCTCAAGGATTCAGAGTAATGTGCAAGAAGGTGTAATTTGAAATTACAGATGCATCTGTTTTAATCTATACCTAAATATTCTCTTATGTTAGCTGCCTGTCTTGTTGCACATCTCTTACCTTGAGCATCATTACACTCAGACACATTGGACCACTTCAGAGGTGCAGTGTGACAGAGCTCAGGATGCTGTAATTCAGACAACAGGTGGATATAGCATGCACATTATATTCTGGACACGTTATGCAAGAAACTGTACAGAGCTTCAGAGTCTGACTAAGGAACACATAACTAGAGTAGATCTCCTGAGTCAAACAGTTTAGTCCTCTGGTATTGTAGATAGCTGTGTCATATAGATCCTTGTGTGGCATAAAATCGGTTCTTCCACCAGTGCAAGTCAGGAGCAACCTTCCTAATGTCAGTGAACTATCCAAAGGGAACGAGAACTCCTGACTAGGGTAATATACTTGGAGAAAAGAGCTGGAAAAAGATGCATGCTACACAAAATAAAATTCTGTTTGAACCTACTTTAGCCTCTGACTTTCCATCACTGTATATGAAAGCTTTTATCACTTGGTAATTTGGAAACAGCTTTCCAGCTGGTAAAAGCTAAACGCTTATCTTTTGTAAGTGTATGTGCACACACACACACATTTCTTTTATGGTACTGAAAATTTACTGCATACTTGGCTTCTGTTGATATCTGAAATCCCCAACTGTGCTTTATTCCCTCAACTTCCTCCGTATAGGATGGTCCGCACACTGTATGCCGTCGGTGCTGTGTTTCTTCTGATGGGATTTCTGCTACCGACAGCAGAAGGGAGAAAGAGGAATCGTGGATCTCAAGGTGCTATCCCTCCGCCTGACAAAGATCAGCCCAATGATTCGGAGCAAACGCAGACACAGCAGCAGTCGGGCTCTAGGCATCGAGAACGAGGAAAAGGCACCTCGATGCCTGCTGAAGAGGTGCTGGAGTCTAGTCAGGAGGCGTTGCACATCACTGAGCGTAAATACCTAAAGCGGGATTGGTGTAAAACTCAACCCCTCAAACAAACTATCCACGAAGAAGGCTGCAACAGTCGTACCATTATCAACAGGTTCTGCTACGGCCAGTGCAATTCCTTTTACATCCCCAGGCATGTCCGTAAAGAAGAAGGCTCCTTCCAATCTTGTTCCTTCTGCAAGCCCAAGAAATTCACCACCATGACTGTTACACTCAATTGCCCTGAGCTTCAGCCCCCAAGAAAGAAGAAAAGAATTACCCGAGTCACGGAATGCCGGTGTATATCTATTGACTTGGACTAAACCGAGACAAAGGTAGCGGTTGCACGCTGACTGTACACAATCCTTGCCAGCGTGAGAGTGAGTGGCATGAACTGGCATACCTTCGGGGCTGGACAAAACTGAAAGGAACCTAGTGAATTACCTAAACCAAGGAAAAAAACCAAAAAAAAACCACTAAGAAAAAAATCAGTGTAAGGGAAGGGCACGCATGTGTGTGTTTGGGTGTAAGGGAGAAAATGGATGTATACAAGCAAATATATGAATGTTCACTGCGACAAAAAATTTTAACAAAGGTATGAAATATAAAAAAATTCTATTTACCCACAGTCATGAATTAGGTTTCCTAGTGTATATTCACATTTTTGCCGCTTGCTGGGAAAGTGGAGCTGTGGCTTTTGCTAATGTTCACCTGCCATGCTATTTGCTTTTACTGTATTAAGAGAAACATCAGAGTGCGAGGACAATATGTTTGAAAGCATGAATCTATTCTTAAATACAAAGTAGGCAAAAAGCAGTTTAAAGCATAGCAAAACCATCACTGAAAATAGCAGCCGTATCTAGAGTTTGTAACATGCTGCTTCAAAAAAAAGAACTGTAATCCAAAAGCCATGTCTGGAGAACAATGGGGGGACGTGGGAGTGTTGAAAAGCTGCTATAGGTGGATGGAAAACAGAGCTACAGCAAGTTAGAAAGCAAAAGGCCAAAGTAAGTAGATGGGGAGAGTACAAAAGGGAGTAGGAAAAGGAATGATACATAAATAGGAAGACACAGAAGAAGAGATAATTGTCTTCTGTTTATGTTTTGCTTTAATTTATATACCTAGTCATATATTACATAAATTAAAGAGAAACTATATACAAGGCTATAAATGTACTTCTGAATTCTGATGGCTCTCTAAATCAATCAAAACCCATTCTTGTGCCACTAGGTCCATTTGATGTCTTGTATTTCTGATATCAGTTATCCTTCATATCTACATATATATGTATATGCAGTATCTTTTAGTCATTGGTATCTATACACACACATACAATGAGTGTGCATACTCCATCGTGTGTATCCGAACTCTCTCCTTCTCTTTTTCACACGCATACATAAAAAACATACATAACCACAGCACAAAAATCTTGCTAACCAAGATCAAGTACAGAATGGCAGTAATTTAGTACATAAAGAGCAAAGCAAAAATTAAAACAAGCATCATGTGACTGCAAATGCAATAACCACACAAGAGACAAAAGACACGACATTCATGACTAGTAAACATTGCATTGTTATTGTTATTTTAGCTTTGCCACAGGCATGCAGTTTGTTGAAAAAGAGATGTAGAACTTTGCCAGCAATAATCCTCTTTTTATATCTTTTACCACAGACTTGCAGTTAAACTGAATTTGGACTAAGTAAAGAGAATTTCCTGAAAATTAAGGGCTAAGCGCCCCTCTCATTTTGGGGAAAAAAAAACAAACATAAAAGGGGACACACTACTTCCAGCAGCTTGATGAATCTCACCTGTGAGGTTATCCTGCCTTCTCTTTCCTTCAGGATTAGGAGCTTAAACTTGATCAGGGCTGTAGGTTTTGGCAAGAGGGTAGAAGGTCCTGCAAAAGAAGTTGGTTTAGTGAGGTGGACCCTGGGCCATTGCACCAGAGAGGCAGCCCTTCCATGCATGTTGCCCTCGCTTTCCTGCGCACTCAATGGGGAGCCTGGGGGTTGTCTCGCTGGCCGCATCTCATACCACATGGTGTGCAGACTCCTCATGCTGTCCTGGGTGGTGGCTTTGCAAGGGCACTTTCCAGCCGGGTGCTGAAGAGCTCACAGGGTGCTGCACACCTTGTGCCTGCGGGACCTCGACAGCTGGTCCTGCCCGGTGGGGTACCAAAGGCAAGGCGTGTTCCTATGCCAGAGTCAGTTCTGGGCCTGAAAGGAACCCTGACATCGCTGATGTGAGTGAAACGGGAGTTAGGTCCACATTAATTGTATGATGGGGCTTGGGTAGTCCAGGACTCAGTTTCCCCATTCAGCAGCAGTACTCTCTAGTATCCGCTGTCAGTGTAACACTGCTCTCTCGCACCGGCTGCCTCTCTCAGCCACAAGGTGATTATCTCAACAGCATTTCTGTCCACTGAAAGCCAAGGAAGACATTTCTGTTCTTACTAACATGTCCAAAGGGAAAAATGTACAGCGAGTGGCATGTCACAGATGCATCCCGCTTGCCCTCTTTATATTAGATGCCCCAGCTGTTACGCAATGCATCACGCAGTTATTGGCGATATACTGCATCTCTGAAGTTAATAGAGTTTTACTGTAAAATCCACTGCTGTGAGGTCTGCATTTGTAAGATTAAGAGATTGCAACTCATTGATTGATATTATTAAAATGCATTTCATCTGGTATACTCTCACTCAGCAGGTTTGACACATTTCTTCATGGATTTTAAAATCCAATTTTAAAATCTGGAATTACAGGAAGTAGATTTCCACCGTGTGGAATGTGAATAGTTAAACAGAAAGATATGGATATTTAATATTATTAATACAAATCCTCTTTCACTGATAATAGGCAGGGGTTGTTTCCCTTTAATTTACTTTTTTTGAGTTGGTTTGCAGGGGAAAGGGCCGATCTCAGTCATTGCTGAAAGTTTTGTACTAGCTAGGGTTTCTGTTCAAGAAATGGGAACACCTGGAGAATGAATTTTTTTCTTCATGTGAAGTTGACAGCAAAACTCTCGTCGTCTTTTATAGAGACTGCTATGTCCCTAAACCCTTAGCCGTTGAGCAGAGCTTCAGACATTACTTACTGCTTTATTTAAGATTAGGCTAACATTCTGAAGGAAAATTGATAAAAGTTTTACAAATCTTTATGTTCTAAAAGTAGCCTGTGCATAGATCATGACAGAACTCCCCTTGAGGCAGATCAGCCCCCCAATATGTAAATTTTATACAAAGAACTTTTATGAATTGCTAGTTATTGCCTGAGAGTAAGAAAGTTCTACTAACTTACAATTATATGAGATATTTAATATCAACCACAATATGTATTTAAATGTCTGCTTTATTCTAAAAACAATGGACTATATAACCTAAGGCTGCAGTAATTTCATGCTCGGTCTCACAAAGCAAAACGTGGTTTAAAATGAAGTTTTAATTATTTTGTAACTGAATAGAATTGGAGTTTTTTCTTCCCAGCATCTTGTACGTCATTTTAACTACTAGTAACAAATAAATAAAATACCATCTCCAGCCCATGTCTATTGTGTGTTTTTTTGTTGTTTTTTTTTTTCTTTTTTTTTTTTTTAATATTTCTTCCTTAAGTTTCCAGCTCTTTCTGGATCTGTTGTACTTTGCTCTGACTTCTGTGGCTTCTTCTAATTATAAAAGGGCTTACATTATGACAGTGAGACACAGAGGCAAGCAATGGCACCATCATTCAACACGGCTACTTCAATAAGGTTTTTAAATGAGATCTGTCACTTCCCCCTTACCCTTCCACAATTTATAGAAGGAAAATCTCAATCTTTACTTGCACTTTCCCCCTTGTAGACCATACAGTGGCAGTTCAAAATATAAATCAGCCTTGAATTGTAGTAGAGTTAAAGCTGGAGTCAGCATACCTGCCTTACACCTTATCTCAGTTTTATGTTTAGCAAGCAGCTTACTCCCACTTCTAGAAAAAAAGAGTAAGGAACACCTTTACAATACAGGACATTCTAAGCTGTAAACAGGAACAGAGGAGATGATTAAAAATAATTACAAAAGAGAACAGGAAGATTTGTCCCTGCTGGCAGCACTTTAGCAAGGCCAGGGTTGAGGAAGGACTGCAACCACAGAGAACAAGTTTCTTTGAACTTTCAACCCTGCAGGTGGGAAACAGGCAGTAGTGCTATAAAGTTTACCTTTCCAACCTGCCGCCTTGTCAGATGTCTGAGGGACTTGGTCAATTGTTGCAGACCCCTGTGCAGTCCTGCTGTCTGCAGTAGCGGTGCAGTGTCCGCTCTTGTGAAGAAAGCTGCTTTGACGGGGATCACCATCTTGCTGAACTGAGAACCGTCTCTGATTTCACACAGAATTATAGAATCGTTATGGTTGGAAGAGACCTCAAAGATCATCAAGTCCAACCGTATACCCAATGCCACCATACCCACTAAACCCACTAAACCATGTCTCGAAGCGCCACATCTAAACGTTTTTTGAACACCTCCAGGGATGGTGACTCCACCACCTCCCTGGGGAGCCCATTCCAATGCTTAATGACTCTTACAGTGAAGAAGTTCTTTCTAATGTCCAGCCTGAACCTCCCCTGGCACAACTTGAGACTGTTTCCTCTTGTTCTAAACAATGTTACCGTGGAGAAACATAAACATCTGAGCAGTGATATAAGCCTAGTAATTTTCAGCTGTACACCTTTTAGTTCAAAAGAATGAATGACATATAGTCAGATATACAGTTGTTTGAGGGAGCAGCATGTAGTGTTTTCCCATGGCACATGGAGCTAACCGGAGAAAATGGTCAGATGTCCCATTTCCAGCTCTGAAAAGCTGGGTGCTGGTGAGATTTGATGTGTTCTTCCTGCATGCAGTAATGGAGCTGAGCAGTCTTGTAGTACTGGTTGTTTGGGGTCTTTTAGAGTTTTTTGGTTTAGTCTTCCTTCTTTTCTAGCTTTTTTGTGTTTCTAAAACTTACTGAAAGGCTAATAACATTAAAATAATTATTTTTGGAAGGCAATTTACTTTTTCTGGTCTGAGATATGGGCACAGTTGGACAGAATAAGTTTCCTTGAGAAGATGTGCATATATATCTTTATTTGAATATTTAAAACAGAGAGAAAAACCTCCTGGACTTACGTTTCTAGTACTCTGTAGTACCATGGTCTTACTATTTATACACTAAGAACCTCAGACATTCATTATAATTTACGTTTGGCCTACATACCAGCTTTGAATTGAAGACACGTCTACTGGGAAGTCCTGTGTGCTTTATAGACAGTTACACTGATCAAAAGAAGGTAACAGAGAGAAAAGTCACACACCTTAATCAACTTTCAGGGACACAGATAGAAATACGATTATTTCTTTTCTCTCTCCCCGGTGAGGTAGGCTAGATTTCTGTTCGGGATGTCTGTGTGCTCTGTCATCCATGTGCTGC